CTGAAGAAAAGAGAGGAGGAAAGACAAGTATGAAGCACAACAGATCAAAGAACACTGTAAATACTGTATACAAGTAAGACACAAATTCAAAAAGTTTTACAGGCAGTCAGACATACTCAAATGGTGGGGTCAGTATACAGTTAGGAATATACTGGATAAAAAAAAAAAAAAAAAAAAAAAAACATGACCAAAACAGACATGCCTTAATATTCATAAAGATCTTCCTCTCAAGCAAAGTAACTTGAAGATCGGCTTATTTGGTTGACTAGATATCATGTAAACATTAGCTCTTAAGAAAATAGATTTTTCTTCTTGATTTATCTAAAGACATAATAGTTTCATATTTGAAAGAAGCTAAAGAAATTAGCAATATTTAAGACATTTTTTATATTTTAAGGTGAAGTTTTAATAGATATTTTTTCCTTCAAAGATTTACCTTATCTTTACAATTTGATGTCCTGAAAACTCCAGTTGGAGGGATGGATACAAAAAAAAAAACCAAAAAAACTTATCCATCCTTTCTCCCATAACGTATTTAATCTAAGAAATTTGTACCAAAATAGTCATTTATAGTCAAACATTAGTGGACACTCATATTTGAAATAGATGCATCATTTTTATTTTAAACAGTGCATATTAGACTATTTCCCACACATTTGAGAAATCCCAATAAAGATAATGTGCTATCTTGCATCCCTCTTTGTGAGAGAAATTACTGTTTGATTTTATATACTTTACCACTTCACAGAAGAAAAAAAAGAAAAAGTCTTATTTCACTAATGCTCCATTTCCCCTTTTAAAAGAAATCACTTATCCAGAATAATGCCTAAAGAATTAAAATAAAAATGGTATCTATTTAAAAACAAGTATCCACTATAACTTTTGAAGTAATAAAAATGTCAGATTAAAAATAAATCTATTAATTCTTCAAGAGAGGAAATGTTTATAAATGTAATGTTTCACTCATTAAAGCTTCACCGGAGAATGAAATATGGAGAAAATTCTATTTTTAATTTTTGTGTGGTTTGTTTCCATTGGTCAAGCAGATTTTACATGCATGTCTGGTCAAACAGCATTTGTGTATATAATTCCTGTGCCGAATTTTCTTTAAAAATGCTTAATAGATATATATACACACACTGATCATCTGAATCCTGTATAAACTAGAATTATGATACGCATAAATGTTGTTTGACAAGTGATAAGGTCTGCTTAACCACTGAAAAACAAAAGAAACAAAAGAAAAGGAAAAAAAAAAAAAAAAAAAAAAAAAAATCTCTTCCATATTCCATTTTCTGATGAAATATTAACAAAAGCGAAGCATTTTATATTTATTTACACTGTTTACACCATTTGGAATGTTATCCTAATCTTTATTACCATATTCACATTTCAGCCATTGTACGCCCCAGCTGTCTTCAGGTGAGGCACATGGCCCAGTGGATAAAAGCATTGATTGAAGTAATCCAAAAAGTGACTTGACCCAATGAGTTGCGAGTTCAATACCTGGCTACAGCAGAAGGAACAAAAACTTGAAGAGTTACTAAAAGGAATTAACTGAAACTGGTATATCCAAAAAGGTATGGCAATTGGTCCAAAATATTTCACAATAAAGATGAGGACAACAGTCTGAATCATAAATAGAGTGTAAATAGCTACAATACCTCATTTCAGAAATATAGACAGCTGTCTATCATGTTATATTTATACAAGTTTTCTATTTGTCATTCTGTTGTGTGAGTATATATATATATATATATATATATATATATATATTACACACACACTTCATTGAATGCAACAGACAAGGCGCTTTGATTTAGCTTTTTTAATACAATTTCTCGTGATCTAATAATTGTTTTCATTTTCAGATGATATATAAAATCTGTCTTTATCCAAGCACTTTCGGCTATACATTTAGCCATTTTCAAGGTTGAAATATATTAAGAAATAGTTTGTTGTATGTATGTATTTATAAAAGAATAAAAAGAGCATTTGGACAGTTTTTATATAATTTATCATCTGAAAAGAAATTAGATCACATGTTATATATATATATATATATATATATATAAAAACAAAAATCAAAGCACCTTTTGTCATATTCAATGAAATATGCATGAAAGAAGGATTGCTGCCTAAATACACTCTCATATATATATATATATATATATATATATATATAAATAAACTCAATCTGTTAAGTAATAAAAAATGCCAGATTAAAAATAAATCTATGATTTATATAATAAACAGCCTGTATGTTGAGTGTAATAGATGATTATCATTAACTTGGTGTGGAAATCAAGAGTTTAATTGGCATTTGCAAAAAAAAAAAAAAAAAAAAAGTATTACAAAGTACAAAAACAATTTTAAAATAATTAAAATTCTTATTTATGATAAAGTTAGAGTCAAGTATCCTTTCATTATGGAAGCTTCACTTATCTAAGTCAAAGCTTAATACTCCACCTGTCTAGCAGGGTGTAGAGCTGATGAAACAAAAAAAACTTTCCAGATGTTACAGATGAATAACCAACAACAGCCCATTGTGCACAACAAATCACTATAGTGCAAGAAATATGATAGTGATATAGAGTGACAAATAGAGTGGATATTGAAAGAAGAAAAATGGGAAAGTCAGCCAAGCCAAGCAAACAACAATGTCATCTCACAATGAGAAAGCATGCTGGAGAAGAGTCCAAATGGATGATGATGCACTAACATATGCACAAGTTTTTCCTTCATGGCATGTGGAGGTGCAAAACAACTTACATGACAAATGATTGCAATTGGGAAGGGGGGTGTCTTTAACTTTATAAAAGGTAACAAGCAGTATATAATGTATAATTGAAGACAAAGCTTGTTTATTTAATTTTTTTTTTTTTTTGCAGAACACCCATGAGCCATATGTCATTTAATTCCAGAGAAGAGTTTTTATAAATTATAAGAATTGGATAATATTCTCACATAAAAATTATTTCCATTCAAAAATGGAAAAAATTGTCTGAATATTTTTTCTTCTTCTAGCAGCCTATCTAGTTTAATATAAAAATGATACAATATATATGAAATTAAAGTAAAAGAAAATGAAAATTTTTAGTTATTGCACCAATGATCATGTTTATTTAGAGAAAGAAATACAAACATGGGCAGTAACATATTTGATGAATAAATTGTTTCTAAGTAAATTCATTGTTTTTCTTTTAATACAAAAATCTTACTTGGTAAAAAATACAACCCAAATCAGAAAATTAAGCTGCAATATAAAAATAAGATATTGCTTTATTTTTATTTAACTTATTGTAAATAAAAGGACTTTTGAAAATGTCAGTGAATATAAAAAAAAAAAAAGAAAGAAGTGATAATAGCTATGATGAACTTTTGTTTTAAAGATAAAAATAAATGAGCTTTCTATTGCACTGTTTCAATATCATCTACAATACTGAAAAAGTGAAGTCCTCCCCACAGTATTAATGTCTCACCATGTGAATTTATGTGAATGAATATAAATTCATTAGCAACAATTTGTAATTTCTGTTTGTTAAGCAAACCTTAAAAGAAGAGTCTATTCTGCAAGGAGCAAGTCTTAATATTTTTGTGGTTATACACTGTAACCCGGATATAAGAGTTGTCGGGACTGGAGAAGAAGTCTCTTATATCCGGGTTTGGTCTATTTTGTTTAGGTAACACAGGCTCTAATTTGGGACCAGAGAAAATCTCTTATATCCGGGTTACACTGTATCTTCAACTTAAAAATTTATCATCTGATATTCAATTTTCTTTATCAAACACATTGAAAAAGCTTCAAAAAAAAAAAAAAAAAAAAAAAAAAAAAAAAAAAAAAAAGTACAAAATTCTGAAAACTACTAAAGTATATTTCATTATTTTCTGGATCTTGTCACAGAATTGAAAAATTTCAGAATAATCAAGAACCACATTGTCCTTATGCAGTTTTATTTAGAACAAAATTTTTTGAACTTGTTGCTAAGCAAAAACAAGACAGCAGCATTATGGCCTAGAATTGATTGATGTAGAAGCAAATATTTCAGAATACTATAGAACATTTTGTTAGGGTGAACAGGAAGTTTTTCTGTATCAAATAATCCCTTAGGCATTGTAAAAGCAGAATTTACTGAATATGAAATTCATTTAGAAAATGTTTTAAGCAGAAAAGAAAGGTTCAAGTTTCTATCAGCTGTTTCTTTGACATTTCAGCAAGCTGTAAAGCATCTTTTAAAGTGATCAAATTTGTTTTCGTTATGGTGCACTCAAATGTGTGTAACATTATAACATAATCGTGTTATCTTAATTTCTTTTACCAATAAGAGACACCAAATACATTCTACTTTTTTTTTTCCCCAATTTCGTCTTGAGATTTGTATATGGAGCTATTTATTAACCCATCTGAAAACAGTTTAAATTAATGCCCTATCTAAAGTATAATTGGGAACTAGAACAAATTTTCATCTGAAATTAAAACAATATGTACTTTAAGTAAAATAGTCACGATATAGGACAAAAAGAAGGTATCAGTTTAAAGTGACACCAAGAAAACATAGGTTAAATGCTTGGAGTAAAAAGGATATCAATACTGTCAGCATTCTGAAAATAGCACTATTTAATAAGAAAGATGTCCTTTAACTTTTTTCAAAATTTAAAAAACAAGATTTATCATATTTGTCAAAGTGTTAATGATTCTTCAGGAGGGGGCTTCAGATTGAATTTTTGTTACAAATATTTTTTAGTTGAAAATTCAATTTAAAATTACAGAAGCTTTTTATTGTATATTTTTATAGACAGAAAAATCTGAGTGGTTCTTCAAGTTCTTTCATACCATGTAAGCATGTAAGGGTACCTCGACATGGTGTAATGGTTAGAAAGCTTGTCTTGCTACATCAATTATGACAGAGTAGCGAGTTCCATCCTCACTGGGTGACCCATACTTTCAGCCTTGTGCCACATCTAAGCCGGGCTTAGAAAATCACTACCATGTAAGCATG